AAAATTTGAACTCAGCTAAATTTTTTATTCAGCTTGTTAATATTGGACCTCTATTTTGTTGTAAATTGCACCTCAATGCGATGATGATTCTTCTTTAAATGAACAGGAAGGGCATAGGCCTTGCCAAATCATTAGCCCCCAGTTGAGTGTGGGAGGCCACATAAGGCGAAATGCTAGTAATGGGGATACAAATATACTGATTAACAATCGGGAGATCACAAAGTTAGAGGCCTTCATGCTGAAGGTTTTTATACTGGACTGGTTCAAGTTCTTTTGTATATTATATGCTTTGAAAAACAAAACACATTGTATTGATGCATTTTGTTGCAATTATGCAGTTGGCTGGAGTGCCATGTGAAGGAAATCTTCACTACTGGGTGAGTGCAGATGGGGAGTATCAGGAAGAGGGAATGAATCAAGTAAAGGGAAAGATATGGGACAAGGTGTGTACGCATGTGATGTGCAATAAATTGTGTTCCTTTCCGCCCTTTCCTAATTAATGTTTTGATCAAGCATCCCTTAACTGTGGAGTTACTTCTTTACAGACTACAATAAAGATGGTTTGTAACATCTTGTCTTTGCCAATTCCTTCTGGTTCTGCAAATCTTTCCACTGACGAAGTGAACACCCGGAACACCTTTGAAGAGAAAAAGCTTAACAAAATTGTTCTAGTTGGACATCACAAATCTGGTACAAGCACTATATTTAAACAGGTAAGACATTTGGGGAGGAATAACCTGATTACCCATCACTTAATATTATAAAGGTCAGCACCTAATTGGTGAATTTCCTTCCGTAGCTTCAGGGTCAGTAAAATTATTTACCCTACAAAGCTTTAGATGGTAGTAATCATTGCTGAAACTTGACAGTGAACTAGTATTGACATGACTTGAAGTTTTCAAGAAACTTTTTTTCTGATTTATTTGGTATATTTATACCTGTTAAAAGTTTGCGGCAAGTGCATATCAGAGATGTGTAAACATATATACATGCATGCATGTATGTTTGTATGTATTTTTCTTAATGCACCACTATGTGATGTGTTTGTAATTACTAATAATGTATTAGTGCATCCTCTCGGCAGCAGTGTTCTTCTATTTAATAACCAAGTGCAAACGTGCACACAGATAACTAAACATGACTCTTCTTTTACCACAACAATGTTGTCGTTATATTTTAAGTGACACATCGTTTTCTTTTTCCCTTCCACATCTGTAAGTCTAGTTTGGTACACTTTTTCTATTGTTTTCAATAAACTTTTGGAAGGAAATGTTATAGTAACTTCAACATTTCTCAGTGGGTGGTTGAGTGTCCATTTTAAAACAGCGCTGCTAGGAATATTGGTTTAAAAGGCACTTTATGAAACCAAACACTTAATTCCAATATATTTATTCCAAATGATAGCCTTATTTTTTTTTCTGACACTAAGTACTCGCTTATTTTAGGCCAAGCTCTTGTACAATGTTCCTTTCTCTGAAGATGAGCGCCAAAGTATTAAGTTCGTGATCCAGAGCAGATTGTACAGTTATCTTGGTATATTGCTTGAAGGGCGTGAGTGGTTTGAAGAAGAAAGTTTGATTGAGAAGAGAAAAGGAAAAGGACGGCTTTTGGATGAACCTGGCCCTTCAGGTACAAATCAATCTATACTTTGTTTTCTTTACTCCATTATGTTTATGATCTGCCTTTTTTTTTTTTTTTTTTTTACATCAAGGGCGACCCCCAAGTTGACAAGAGTTTGTGGTGGGTGTTTTTTTTGGGGGGGGGGGAGGAGGAGGAGGTGCTGGGGGAACGTCTATCATATGCAGCCTTACCCTTGCTTTGCAAGGAGGCTGTTTCCACGACTCGAACGTCTGGCCTTTCCGTCACAAAGGAGCACCAAACCGTTACGCCAAGGCTCACCCTAAGCCTTTTTACATCATTTTGTAATTTTTATGTTGGATGGCATTTTCACTAAAGTCAGTTGTCCCGTTCCTTTCTAACTGTAAGATAAATTAATTATTTAGATGAGATTTGTGACTATTTTTGGTTTGTAAAAGAAACACAATTAAGATGGGTTACCCTATCCAGCACGTGGAAGAAAGGCTGTAAATAAACCGTTAACAAGAGATAACTCAAATTCGGTTTAGATCCTTTTGGCAAATAATGATAACAGGGGATGAGGGATAACATTGTTTGAGTTTCTATAGCTTTACCTGTTTGGTCAAGTGAATTATTTGTTATGTGTTTCTCTTAATCATTTGTGCATCTCAGTTGTGGGTGTCGATTTTGAATTAATGAATTGTCCACCCACTTTATTTTGGACCATTGATCTTCTAATCCCGTCTAATAGTGGTTCAAGAAAATGTGTTGTCTTCTATGAATTAGTTATAAAGAAAAAAGAATATTTGTTTCACTGATATCATGAACTACATATAACATGTTATGAGCTCTACTGATAAAATTAGATTTCTGCCTTTCTTGACGTTGAGAGTGCATATGGACATACCCATACAAACATTAGATTTGAAAGGGTTTCAAGAATACATACATATACACACATATATATACATATATACATACATATATATACATATATATATATATGTATATAGGGTTTAGGAGTGAATGATTAAAAGAAGGGATTACAAGACCTTTTGAATGATTAAAAGGAACAAAATAAGATTCAGTAGTGAATGTTGGAAAGTCTGGGAATGCCGTTTCCCTTCACTGCTAAAGCCTTAAAACTTTAGGGTCAACTGACTATCCAGCTTTGACAAAATTATTTTTTCCCATATGTTATTGTTAGTACTTTCCAGTTGTTACTATCTTTTACTTTCCTGTCAAGTTGATAGATCTTTCTAGTATATGATTGTATTATGTTATCGCTCGGCTTATAAATAACATATTAAAACTTTAAACATCAAGTGAGATGCTTGCCTTTTGTATGAATTTATTGCTATCAGTATTTGTCATTATGGAGTCGTGCCTGAAGTTATTCAGTTTACACAGGGAATACAAGCCAGCTTGACGATAAAACAAGATATTCCATTGGTCCAAGACTGAAAGCTTTTTCTGATTGGCTCCTCAAATCTATGGTATCTGGTAATCTGGAAGCCATATTTCCAGCAGCTACCCGTGAATATGCACCATTTGTTGAGGATTTGTGGAAGGATCCTGCTATTCAATCCACATACGACCGGAGGAATGAAATAGAAATGCTGCCCAGACCAGCTGCATATTTTCTTAATCGGGTGAGATCACGCTGTGTGTTCCTTGTCCTTTAGTTTTAGCCAATTCACATTCTCAAAGTGTTTCTGCTCATAGTTTTTATTTGTTTATTTTTAAATTCCTTTTAGCTTTAGTTCTTTTGAGTTTTCAATTATTCTTTAGGTCGTGGATACATTTAAATATGAACATGGAATGTGGATAATACATGATCTCTATATTATATGCGTGTTACTCAGTTCAAATATTTATATTTCTGTGTAGGCTGTTGAGATTTCAAGGACAGATTATGAGCCCACAGATATGGACATCTTGTATGCCGAGGGAATCACCTCATCCAACAGCCTTACGAGCATGGAATTCTCAATTCCCCCATCAGCTGGAAATAGCAATCTGGACCCTCCTTATCAGCATGACCCTTCGTTAAGGTGAGTTCCGGATTCATGCATCAAGTAAATGATGCTTGAGCAACAAATGCATTAATCTTTCTTCATTGAGTTGGCCAAATATCGTGCTTAATCTGGCTGATTAAATTTATTGTCGACATGCTTTGCCCAATAGATAGAAATTGCTATGTAGTTTTAGATTAGTTATAACCAGGAAAAGTAAGATGAAACTTTTTTAATACATACACAATAGTCAATGGAATTTTGAGAGTATGCTTTGCCGATAAAGGAAAACACAGGTACGGAATATAACTTTTTGATGCTAAATGAGCGATAGGTTACTTGAAAATCAATTTCATTTTCCAAGATATGATCTTGAATTCGAAGTTCTAAACCAGTCCTTTTTTCTCCAGTTTCTTTGTTGTTGAAACATTTCCGAGTAGTATATTTATGTTAGAAAGAAAAACTTGAGCAATTTTGTTTGATGGAAAACAGTGTTTTAAAATGCATTGGCATTGTTTTCTTCGCAGGTACCAACTAATTAGAGTGCATCAGAGCACCCTCGGAGGAAACTGCAAGTTGGTCGAGATGTTTGAAGATGTTGACATGGTCGCATTTTGTGTTTCATTGACAGAATACGATGAGTTTTCTACAGATGTTAACGGGGTTTCCATAAACAAGATGATGGCAAGCAAGCAGCTATTTGAAAATATTGTTACTCATCCAGCCTTTGACCAAAAAGGCTTCCTTCTGATACTCAACAAGTATGATCTGCTCGAAGAAAAGATTGACGAAGCCCCTCTCACTCGATGTGAATGGTTTCATGACTTCAATCCGGTAACCAGCCAAAATCCCAGTAGTAGCAATAACAACAGCAATAACCCCACGTTGGCTCACCGTGCCTTCCAATATATTGCAGTGAAGTTCAAAAGATTCTTTCATTCTCTAACAGATAGGAAGCTGTTTGTTTCACTGGTTACAGCGCTAGAGTCTGATACTGTAGATGAAGCTCTTAGATATGCTAGTGAGATTCTAAAATGGGAGGAAGAGGTACCCAGATTAATTAACGAGATCTCTTCCGCTAGCATCGAGGCAAGTTCTTCCGCTTAAATGTCTTTCTGTAAATGCAACCATTGCTGTTGTGCAAATTGTTTATATACATGCACTAGGAAACACATATATGCAGTGAGAAAATAGAGTTCATATTCTTTTCAACTTCTGTTTAAACAATGAAATATCTGTTTTTTCTTTTTCCCCAATTAAGTCCAATTTTGCAACACTATCAAGTTGGATGTATTTTAAAATTTAGTTTTTGGTTATATTATTGAAGAAAGTAAGCAGTAAAGTACATAGAAAAAACTGAAAGCAGCAAAAATGGGACAGGACAAAGGATTAGGTGAGTTGAACTACACGTAAAGGCTTAGTCATCCGCTCAGAGCGGGTAGAACAAACCGAAATTGCCGTTACAGTCTCATCTCCTAACTTTTTTCACTGACATTGATTTTTCCAATTGATATATACTTGAGATTTGCTTCCAATTGAAATGTGGAATCTTACCACCAACGTAAGACTCCAAGAACAAGGAAATAATGGAAATGGAATCCCGCCACCAAGCAGGAAACCACAAGCTGAAGGCAGGTTGCACAAGTCGCAAATCAAGTCAAAATCTGCGCGCTGCATATCCGATTGCATTCACCACCCAGAAAAGATGAACCATGAAGACCAACAAGACTGCAATACAAGAAACCCAACGAGCAGAAGCACAAGCAACGAACCATTCACCAAAACTAAGTAGCAAGCAAAGATAGCGAGGAAAAAAGTCTTTCATCTTCGAAAATCTTCATCTTCACACTCAGCTAACTTTGAGGTTTCATTACCTGCTGATTTGATCGTCTTGATCGCCAACGTTAGAGTCGAGGTAGCAGAAGTAGCAGAAGTAGTCATCTTCCGAAAACAAACGACACAAACATTTGGATGGTATCAACAACAGCACGGCGACGTTAGTGAATGGAGTACTTGTAGTCACATTCACTTTTGAAATGATATTATTCTCATTAATTCCTCATCCTCCGAGCAATATCATTCAACACTTCAATACTGCTTGCTGTCATCATTGCCTCGGATGGGAATTAGGGGTGGGCACTTGGAACCGAAAATTGAAACCGAAACATGAATCGAATCGGACCGCACCTAATGGTTTTGGTTTTGCGGTTTTGAAATGGTTTCGGTTTTAAAACCGAACTGCGGCAAAGAAAACGGTTTGGTTTCGGTTTTGGGTTTTCAAAACCGCACCGAAACCAAACCGAAACCGAAACCGCACCATATATTGAATGTTATGTTTTAATTAGTTCAACTACACTAGTCATCCAATTTTGCACCACTATTCGAGTCCATCCAATTTTTCCCCTACATATACTGATTCATACTGAATTTCTTCTCGTTTTCCAAAAAGAGAATGGACATTCTTCCCTTCCTACTCCATCTCAGCAGTCAATTACTGAGGGCACCAGCTCTAGTGTGATTATGGTGCCTGATGTCGACAGGGATTTACTTCATTGTCTTATTAAGGTACATTGGACAAGTAATTGTACTAATAGAAAAATGATGAACCGAGATTTGTTCTCTCTTTTCGTGAAAGCTGATGAAACTCTTGTTGCTTTCAGATATATGATTGTCTGGAGTCTGACTTAAAGCTAAATGAGGTTTTTGAGTTTTTTGGAGTCTTCACTCTCGATTCAGAGTTTAAAGAGGACAAGGATGCATCATATGATTTCACAAATGGTTTTAGCGAAGATGTGTTGGTTCACTTGCCCTCTAATAAGGTATTGGTTCATCTTGCATTTATGTAATTGTTGGTCTCCATATATAAGAAAAGACTAAACTTTGCGTGTTTGGTTCTGTACATAAGTACATACATTTTTATACTTTTTTTTGTTTCACATTTTTCCCTTGGTGCAGGTACCACGTCTCCATTGTTATATTCACAGGAAGCTTGCAGTTCACGACTTCCTTCCTTGTTCCCCTACAATCACAGGAAACTTGGACTTCTATGCCTGTCTGCGTGTGTATATGCAAAACCTGGGATCTCTAAATTTCCCCACTTCTGCATCCTTCCCTTAATTACTTAGATATTGTGTTTGACAATGCTATTATTGTCTACCTTATAGCCAAAGCCCAACGTGGTGAAAGAGATCAGGGAATCTCTCTTGAGGCATCTTACAGCTGTTCTTGGTAATGATGGCATAGCTGCTACTTTCATGCTGTTGCATCTCATGTCCACGGTAAATGGTCCTTCTCATATCAAAATTTTCGGTGTTGGATCCACATGATGATACTATTTTTGTTCATCATGTCCTTTGATTTCATGTCTTATTTCAATCTCTTAAATGACATCTCTCCTCATCTCCTTTACGTATGAGGTATATGATTTAATCTCCTTTTGACAGGTGTATTCTAGAGTTGAACAGTAGCTGTGGGGAAGCTTTCACTAAATCTTACTTGTTTAAGCAAAGAAAGTGCACCCGTGTATGGTACTCGGTGATGCGTAAAATAACTAAACACACAAATTAAACCCTCTTTTGTCAAATTGTAGTAAAGATGTAAGTAGGGATCGTTCTAAACCGGGGATTAGGAGGGATTGCTAAACTCTTGAAAACTAACTCAATAATGTAAAAACAAAGTTTAAAACACTAAACTAGACTCAAAGAATGTAAAATTAAAAGTTAAAACACCAAAACAAAGCAAAGGAACCAAACAGCAAATAAACACTCAAAACTGCCTTAGAAGCACAATCTGGGCAGTTTTGAGTACTAACACAAATTTGGACGAATATATGTTATAACTTGACTCAAAACACTTAGAAACACAAATCAAAACACTTTCTAACTAATCTAAGACTTCAAAATAAAGGGGGATTTGTTTTGGACGAAAATTGAAAACAAAACAGAAACTTTAAAACAAAACAGATTGTAAAACGTTTTTGGATGAAAAGGATGGATAAAAGGGTAGTTAGGAGGTTCTTCTCCACACATGTCACACTTGCAAACAAAACGATTTTCAGTTGTTCTTCTAATAAATTATGAAACTCAACACCCCAAGTTAATTAGATACGCTTAAATTAACCTTCAAGTTCTCCTTAAGTTAATGAATTGGATGGGAAAGCGCATACAACAATTCAAAGCATTCCTCAAAGGTTCCTTACGTGATGAACACAATAAAGATACAATCAAGAATCATGAAGCACAATGAGAACTATAAGTGTTGACGAGGCATTCGTTACTATGATGAGCATGAAACTAGTGCCAAGAATTCATTCAACGCGATCGTTTTCAAGCGACCTTCACTACTTGTGATTATAAGATTGTAACTATTAGGTGAAACTCCCTCATAATCTAGCATCATATTCATGCATGAAAACTAAGCGTGCACTCTCAATCAACATACACAAATAAGTTATCAATCAAGTAGATGAACGAATTGAATCCACAACTTATGAAATAACAACTGAATGTAATCAAATCATATTGCAAGCATGTGCATGGTTTCGAATCACCCCCCAACTAAGGGGGTTTAGTTCCTCATACTCACAACACAAAGTTTATTGAATTGAAACATTGAAAACATAAGAAAGATTACACCTAAAAGTTCCAACAATCTGCAATAGACTAGCAAGCACATTCAAGAGCACTCCTTCTTCCTTCTTGCTGCGGCACAAGGTATGGAGATGGTTTGGATGGGTTTTGGATGATGGAGAATGGTGGGAAGGTGTCTAGGATGGGTGTGTGGCACGCTAGGAAGGTTTTGGGGTCAGAAAATATGGATTTGGGTGAAGGTTGGGCACGGCAAAGGTAGGGGAAAGGTTTCTGGCGTGAATGGAGTTGTATGGATGTGTGTGGAATGTTTTGTGGCTGCAACAAGGAGGTTTATTTAAAGGAAAACAGAAATTAAAACCCTAGGTTGATTAGGAAATCAGAAATTAAGTCTAAGGATTCTAGAATTAGGAAATAAAATCAGAAACTTAAAGGAAACCCACCAAAAGTTGTGGCAATTACTTAAAACATAAAAGGAATGTGTTTTAAGTCAGATTTTGGGAAAGAAACCCTCCCCCTTGCACGGCAAGGAAGAGGAAAGGATGAGGGAGGTGCGGCTCATGTCTTAAGAAAGGAAACATGTCCTAAAACTAAAGGGAAATAGGTCTACTTGTGCGGCAAGGGTTTGGGAAAGGTCTAAGTGACCTAAAACTGATGGGAAAGAGGATCCTTTGCACGGCAAGGAAGGGGGATTAAGGGAAAGGTGCGGCAAAGGTCCTAGAGTGGTTTAGGGCCTTTGTTTGGTGTCCCAAAGTGCTTAAAAGGTATTCAAAGTGGCTGGAAATTAAGGACATTTAGGAATAGGGAAGGTCAACCAAAATAGGAACCTTGGCTTAACTTTCCTACTTCAAGTAGGAATCCTTGTTGGAGTAGAAATCCTTGTTCTTCTAGGAATCCTCAAATGAGTAGGAATCCTTCTTCAATTAGGAATCCTTTGTTGATTAGGAATCCTTCTTGGATTAGGAAACCAACTTTCTTCAAGACTTCAATTCATCCATTCCTTTTGCTCCAAAAGGCTCCAATTTGCTTCTTTTTGCACACTTTGACCTTAGAACCTGAAAACACACAAAAGTGACTTTAAACACTAAAATAGCTAAGTAAACACAACCTAAATGCACGAGAACAAGCCAATTAAGTAGCATGAATATGCTCCTATCACTCGGATTGGCCTTGCTCTCAAGAATCTTTTACCTTTCACACAATGTATATCCCTAACATTGGATTATGCAGATTTGCTGCATTTTTTTCTTTCATTTTTGCCGCTGTTTTTTGTTGCAGTTTTGCTGCTGTTTTTGATGTATTGTTGGTGCTGTTTTTGTTGCATGTTCATTAATTAATATATGAGGAAAATAAGACCGTCTTATGCGTAAATAAGTGTATATTTTAAATTGTACATTTTTTTTTCTAAAAAACCGAACCGAAACCGTTTGAAACCGCACTGAACCGAACCAAATAGTTTGGTTTCATTTCGGTTTTGGCTTCAAAACCGCACCGAACCGCACCGCAAAAAGTTTCGGTTTCGATTGCGATTTCACTCAAAACCGCACCGCACCCACACCTAATGGCAATGGCACAATTTCTTCACCAAACCTTGATGAGTAGGTATCTTCATCGGCTAATACCTCCATAAACACTTTTGTTAACTTCAATGTCTTCATCCTGTGGCATTACCAGGTGGACTCCCTAGCTTTTACAAAGTAACAAACGTTTGCTAAGAAAGTCAAAATCGAAACGCACTTTGCACCTAAGAGGTGGCTGTGTCAGACGCTTGATCTCCTTCAGCTTTGTGAACACTTGCGCTGACTCTAACTCAGTTGAACAATGTCTTCATCCTGTGGCATTACCAGGTGGACTCCCCAGCTTTTATAGCATAGCAAACGTTTGCTAAGAAAGTCAAAATCGAAACGCACTCTGCACCTAAGAGGTGGCTGTGTAAGACACTTGATCTCCTTCAGCTCCGTGAACACTTGAGCTGACTCTAACTCAGTTGAAGAAACCTCATACATATTACCCCAAATTTGTTCTTTGTTGATGTGGATTGCGGTTGCAAAACAGAAAGCATATTCATCTCGCATTTGTTCAACTACATTAGAGCTAATCCTGAGTTCACCAGTTTCAATGTTTGAGGTAAACAATAAATATTTCACTTGATGCATCAAAGGCTGTAGATTTTCTGATTTAAAGTTTCAATGTATATTTCATATATTTTTGTGTACAAGAGTGAGTCCGGGTATATATGAGAAGAGAGATGGGAAGGTTGGCTACTGCAAGCAGCCGACCAGAAAGAAGGAGGCATGTTGCCTACCTAATCTGAACCTTACACAAAGACATTACCCCAATCAGTCTCCTCCCTTAAATCAAGGGAAAGTTAATTTACAATAATACATTTAGCCTTACCCTTACCCTAGAGATTACATTGAGCCATACCCTAGACATTACCCTAATCAGTCTCCTCTCTTAAATCAAGGGAAAGTTGATTTACAATAATACATTTAGCCTTATCCTTACCCTAGAGATTACATTGAACCTTACCTTAGAGATTTGCCATAGGGGTCACCCTTGGTAGCAAACTCTAAAGGTTGTGAAAGAACACACTTCAACAACACTCCCCCTCAAGTTGGATCAAAGAGGTTAATCGAGCCAAGATTGCCCAAATAACGATGAAATGAAGTAGATGCCAGAGCCTTGGTAAAGAGATTTGCCCGTTGATCATGGCTTTGCATGAAAATGGTCCGGATGACTTGAGTTTGCACTTGAGCTCCAACAAAATGACAATTCACTTCAATGTGTTTCGTTCTTTCATGGAACACAGGGTTAGCAGCGATGTGCATGGCTGCTTGATTATCGCATATAAGAGACATGTAAGTAGTATTAATAAACCCTAAGTCTGAAAGAAGCCCTTTAAGCCATATAAGTTCACATGCAGTGGCTACCATGGCTCGATATTCAGCCTCTGTGCTGGAGCGAACAATGACATGTTGCTTCTTGCTCTTCCAAGTGACAAGATTTCCACCAATAAACGTGCAATAGCCCATGGTAGATTTCCTATCAAGTGCATTCCCTGCCTAATATGCATCAGTGTAGCCACTGATGGTAGTGGAATTGTTGTTACGCATGATGATTCCTTGCCCTATCGAACCCTAGAGATAACACAAGACTCTGTTAACCATGCTAAGATGATCAACTATAGGAGAATGCATAAATTGGCTTGCCAAGCTCGTTGCATATGTGATATCTGGACGTGTGATGGTGAGATATATAAGTTTGCCCACCAATTGTTGATAGTAACTCACATCATGCATGGCTTCTCCATTTTTGTTGAGCCTTAGTTTAGAGTCCATGGGAGTGATGTTTGCAATCAAGCATTTTTGCTTCCTGAAGAAGATCCAATACATATTTTCGTTGATGTAGAAACAACCCATTTGAAAGGTTGCCATTTCGATGCCCAAAAAATATTTCAGCCTCCCCAAGTCTTCGATAGCAAAGGTTTGGCGTAGTGAGAGTTTTAGTGCCTCAATTTCAGCAGCACTATCTCATGTGATGATGAGATCATCCACATAGAATAGCACCACCAATTTCCCATTGATGTCAGTTCTTACAAACAATAAGGAATCAACATTACTTCGTAGGAATCCAGCCTTCTTTAGAACTGAACTAAGCTTGGCATACCAAGCTCTTGGGGATTATGTCAATCCATAGATTGCCTTGTGCAACTTACAAACCATGTTGCCTTTACTACCATCATAACCTAGAGGAGGTTGCATATATAGTTCTTCTTGTAACTCTTCGTGAAGGAAAGCATTCTTCACATCCATTTGATAAAGAGTCCACCCACAATTAAATGCAACTAAGAGTAGAACCCTCACTGAATTCATCTTGGCCATAGGTGCAAATGTTTCCTTGTAATCTACCCCAAAGGTTTAGGTGAAACCTCGAGCAACAAGCCTG